AAAAAAAAAAAAAAATTGTCTGAAGTCAGTTGCCTTTACTTCCCTTAGCTGTCTGGCTCAGACTGAGAGATCAGCATGTCTCATGGTGAAGGAATCTTCAAAACAATGTCTGGATGAAAATTAGTCAAATGATGAAGAGGCACAAAGGGACAAAATCCTTCTCATGTCGAGGCACATAACTCATGCCCATGGGAAAGTTTAACTTCTCAATTTTAATGTTTATGCTACATTTTTAGATAGAGCGTCAGCGGGAGTATGTCCAGAGGCTTTGGCGAGAGGATCATCTGGACAAGAGCAATACCTTTGTTCTTCCCCTTAATATAGTTTGCAAACAACTTATTTCCATCAACCATAGCCAGTAAGTTGATGTTGTCTTTAGATATTTTACATGTAATCTTCTAGATTAATTAAGGATATAGTGTTAAATCTCAGTACTACTCTATAAAGCACTTCTCAAGTGCTTGGAGGAGGTGAGGGAAGTAGGTATAAAGGCCATGAAAGAGGGATTCCCTTGTGTGTTGAATATCTGTTTTCTTTGTGAGTAATAAAGAATGGAGGCTAGAATGTAAACATATGCCACTGGGTAGAGAATCACCATTGTCTTAAAAAGGCCTGGGGGAAAAGCAGTTGCTCTTGAAATGCTGTGAGGATTTACCCAGATGTACCACAGGAGCCCCCATATATAAAACTTGGATGTGCTTAAAAGTTTCTCAAAAAGGAATTTCTTTACGTGTTACTAAAGAGGTTTCTGCAGATTTGCCTTGTGACTCTCACAAGGAGTTCAATTTAAGGAACAGAATTAAATTTCTTGTGGTCACTCAGAGAGGGTACACACTTTGTCACCCCCTAGATAGGCAGCATAACCATTTCGCTCATTCCCTGTAACCTTTGAGGGTAGAGGAAACTGGGAAGCAGGTGACAAGCCCCAGGTTGATCTGTGTGGCTCTAGATCACAATCTCTTAATTGCCTCCAAATGGGTAGAGAAATTGTCTACTTCCTTTCAACATCCAACAAATATTTGTTCAGCACACACATGTGAATAACACAGGCATGGTTTTGTGTTCCTGTGAGGTATACAGTCCAGCAGTAAAGGCAGACTTTATGTAAGAAATTGCCGTAATGGGTTATGGTATTGTCTTCAGGACAGGCAGGGTGTCCTGGGAGCAAATAGCTGAGATTCTCATTTCTTGAGAAAGAGCCCCGGGCTCAAAACTCCCCATTTTCTCCATAGGTCTTCCACAGGACTGACTTCTTCTCTGTAATAAACTTGACACCAGCTGTGTGTGTGCAGCTTGCTATGGCAAACATCTACTGTTCAGGAAATGGTTTTTGGCAGAACAGGCTAGTGTTATATGGACACTAAAACTGCCAGAATAGTCTCAGAAGCAAGTATTATATGCTTGATGAGATTCCTTTCCGGACTTTGGGATTTTTTTTTTCTTAAAGATTCAGGACTAAGAAGGATCCCATTTACATCAGTGTAAAGGGAAATGTCATGTCCTTCAGTTCTGTGTGGGTATAGAGGGACCCTTGACTTGTGCTGTACTCTTTATTTCTAAAGAAATAACCCACTGATGAGCTTTATTTTTATTATTTTTTGCTTCTGCCCTCAACCATTTATGAAATATAACACCCTTACAGTCAATTTGAATGATTCCAGCAGTTATGTACAGAATTTAAAAATTGTCCATTCACATTTTGGGAATCTTTATCCTTTAAAGGATAAAGATTAAAGATCCTTTAAAGATCCTTTAAAGGATAAGGATTCAGATGCAAAATTGAAACTAATAACCATGGAAATTATTTGTTTTTTATGTAGTCACTTTTGAGCTATTTTGTTTTCATATGTTTGACTAAATATTGACTACTGAAATATTGACAGTTTTGTTATACAGTGTTATTCTTATTGAGCTTCTGGAAAATACACCTATGTCTTTCTGTTTTTAAAGGTTCACTTTAAAGCAAAGAACATGTCATGCAACCCAGCAGGTTCCTGCACTCTGAGGTCTCTCTGAGTTCTCAGTTTTTTATAATGCACTGGACATATAGGAGGTGTTTTATTGGTCTTTAAAAATACAAAATTCAGGCCAGGCGCGGTGGCTTATGCCTGTAATCCCAGCACTTTGGGAGGCTGAGGTGGGTGGATCATGAAGTCAGGAGATCAAGACCATCCTTGCCATCATGATGAAACCTCATCTCTACTAAAAATACAAAAATTAGCTGGGCATGGTGGTACGTGCCTGTAATCCCAGCTACTTGGGAGGCAGGAGAATCACTTGAACTAGGGAGTCGGAGGTTTCAGTGAGCTGAGACTGCACCACTGTACTCCAGCCTGGCGAGAGAGTGAGACCCTGTCTCAAAAATAAATAAATAAATATATAAAATTTGAATATCTTCAGAAACAGATTAAGTTTGTTGTGTAAAATTGTCATTCGTTGTTCTTTTCTTCAAGCCCAGCTTTGAAAAATGTTTATCTGCTGGAATTCCACCCTTCCCTCAGCCTGGCAGTGCTTATCCCCAGAGCCCTAGAGCATCTCCTCCAAGAGGTCTACCATACCTGCAAACCTGCATCAGCCAGTGGCCTTGCCTCCCTGGAGCGACATGTCCTGCAGCTGGCCCTGGACCTGTGGCTCACCCCAGCCAAGCCTGAGGCCTGGTACAGTGCACAGCTCCAGAAAGATGTAAGTTCTTTCTGAAGGGGGTAGTTGGATCCTTGGCAAGGAGAATGTTTTTTTCCAGATGTTACTATTTAGCTTTGTTTTTCTGTCTGGCTCTATTCCTCCATTATTTGGCTAGAGACGGAGCTCAGTCATAGGCCTTGCCAACATTTTTATGTAATTTTTGGGAGGATGGGGTCAATGTTTCTCATTTATAAAGATGCTGCTACAATTAAAATTAAAAGGGTGATATACATGGGTATGTGGGAAATGTTTTCTGGTTTATTATTTATATTTTAACAAATACTTTTTAATTAAAAATTATATATTTTCTTTTCACTAAGACACTTCCTAAATGTGTTCTTTTTGTCAAGATCTGATAGAAAACAGAAAGCGTTGAGTGAGGAGTCAGGGATCTGAATTCAAGTTCAGTTCTACTTAAGTTGCTATGTGACTCTGAGCATGACTCTTAGCCTCTCTGACCTCAATTTCCCTTTTTGTAAAATTATGTTTGTGTACTTGGCAGGGGAGGTAGGTGGAGGTGAGCTTGATGATCTCTGAAGCCCCTTTCAGCGCTACTGCTCCATGGTTCAAATTGTGGGTTAATAATTTACATGGTGTTTGTCGTTGAATTTTAATACTTTTCTTTTTCTGTTAAGGCTGTCGAGGTTGAGCCTGGGTTTCCAATTTGACCTCGTTCTGTGTGAGTACTTGCTGTATGACAAATAAACTTTCAAGGCCCCCCCACTGCTAAAAATGTCTGCTCCATAGGTCTGCCTTGGCCTCCTATCCCTTCCTGCCTAAAGTAAAAATTGATTTTATTTTACAGTGACCAAAATAATATAAAATTACAGATAATTTTAGCAAAAGCAGAAAGAACAAAATTTAATTTAAACATCACCAATCAAATGCATTCATATCATGATTTATCTGAATTTAAGTATTCTTAATATATGTGTTTGACATAGCTATAATCATATTTTTTTTTCCATTGTTATTTCTTCCTTTTCTCAGTTAACATTATACTATGTATTTTTAAATAAGGCTACCTAGTCTTTAGACTTACATTTATGACTACATAATTCCCATATCTGATGAATAAAAACCTCTCTAGTCATTTCCCTACTGATGGAAATTCAAGTGGTTTCTAATTTTTCATTATTATGAAAAATTCTAAAAGATATGTCTTTTTACTTACAGATTTTTTCATATTTCAAATTGATTCCTTTTGATAGGTTCTTGAAAGCAGAATTACTAAAATAAAATTTAAATATTTGGATACATATTGGCAGATTGCTTTCCAAAGAGCTGTGCCAATTTATAATGGCACGCACATATTCTAAGAGTACCAGTTCTGCTATGCTGTGTAGTATTAGGCAAAAGCATGCAATGTATGTGGTAATATACACGCATACATAAAAGGTGATATTGTGCTCTTAATTTGCATTTTCTTGCTTTTTATTGAGCTTAAATAGTCTTTCAAATGTTTTGTTACTAATTATACTTTTTGTGAATTTTATTCTTTTCCTTTATTTATTTATCTGTTGGAATCCTAACGTTAGTCCTATCTACTTACATGAGCTTGTCTTAAATAAGAACCTTAATCTTTCTTTTTGTCTATGATTTTCTGCAAATATTTCCACATTTGTCCCTCCACCTTTTTTTTTTTTGAGACAGAGTCTTGCTCTGTTGCCCAATATGGAGTGCAATGACATGATCACAGCTCACTGCAATTTCAGTTTCCCGAGCTCACGCTAGTCACCTACCTCAGCCTCCCAAGTAGCTGGGGCTCTAGGTGCACACCATCATGCCCAGCTAATTTTTGTGTATTTTTAGTAGGGAGGAGGTTTCACCATGTTGTCCAGGCTGGGCTCAAGCGATCCACCCACCTTGGCCCCCCAAAGTGCTGAGATTATAGGCAGGAGCCACTGTGCCCAGCCTCTCCATTTGTCTTTCCATTTTTTTAAACATAAATTTATTTCCATACAGTCAAATCTATCAATCATTTTCTTTATGATTTCTTCTATCTTAAATTCAGAAAAAAAAAATCTTCCTCCAGATGTTTCCTATTTGTCTTATTTTATTCTGATTTTTAAGTGCTTGGTTTTATTTTTAAAATACTTAACTCTGGCTGGGTGTGGTGGCTTGTGCGTGTAATCCCAGCACTTTCGGAGGCTGAGGCGGGCGGATCACTTGAAGCCAGGAGTTGTGAGACCAGCCTGGCCAACATGGTGAAACCCCATCTCTACTAAAAACACAAAATTAGCCAGGCATGGTGGCAGGTGCCTGTAATTCCAGCTACTTGGGAGGCTGAGGCAGGAGAATCACTTGAACCTTGAAGGCAGAGGTTACAGTGAGCTGAGATCACACCACTGCACTCTAGCCTGGTGACAGAGCAAGATTCCATTTCAAAATAAATACATAAATAAATAAAAATAAATAAATAATAATAAAAATATTTAACTTTTAATATTTCACTGGAGAGAGAGAGAAAAAAGAGAGAGAGAGTGTGTATGTATGCATGCATCTATGTGTCATATGTGAGGTATGAGTCAAAATTTTTTTTCTTAAATTACTAGCTATTTATTCTACTACCACCAATTGAGGATTCTTTTCACATTGTCTTATGATACCACATTTAAAAGATGTATTCGAAATTCTTTTTTTTTTTTTTTTTTTTTTTTTTTTTTTTTTTTTTTTTTTTTTTTTTTTTTTTTTTTTTTTCTGAGATGGAGTTTCACCCTGTATCCCAGGCTGGAGTGCAGTGGTGCGATCTCGGCTTGCTACAACCTCCGCCTCCCAGGTCCCAGTTCAAGTAATTCTCCTGCCTCAGCCTCCCAAGTAGCTGAGATTACAGGCATGCACCAACATGCCCAGCTAATTTTTGTATTTTTAGTAGAGACAGGGTTTCACCATGTTGGCCGGGCCGGTCTTGAATTCCTAACCTCGTGATCCACCCACCTCAGCCTCCCAAAGTACTGGGATTACAGGCCTGAGCCACCGCACCCAGCCTTGAAATTCTTTTATAAATTACAGTGACTATCTGGGATACCTGTCTAGTCTCCCATTGCTGCCACACAGTTTTATTATTTTTGAAATCTCTTCAAATTTGGACCTACAAGTGATAAATATTCAGACTAATATGTTATATTAGGTCAGAAAATGCTCTCACAAGACATGCAGGAATTTATTTAATAGGTCTCTTTGTTACCACTTTGGAAAACGTTGAGAGCCTAGAAATTGCACCCTTGAGTAGCCCAGTCCTTTAGTGGATAAATGGATAGATAAAGGAGCCAATGTATCCTGGGGAGCCAAACCAGAGAGGCAGATGGGGGTCGCAGACTGGGTGGTTGCTGGGAGTGGTATATTAGAAGACAGCAAAGATGTTAGAGCAGAGGTACCCACCAAGGCAGGAGGGTATTAAAGGACAATGTGGTTACTTCACAAATCACCCAGGGCCAGCTCTGAGTGAAGGAATGCTGGAAAGGCAGTTTGGTGTACTGTAAAATAGCTGAAGTTGGAGTTAGGAAGCCCAGGTTTACTCTTGGTATGGCTGTGTGACCTTGGACAGTTTCATGTAGCTTCAGATCCCTCACTGACAAAGGGGAATAATGATATCTGTGACGCCTACTTCATGGGGATCTTGTGAAAATAAAAATGAGTTAATAGATGTAAAAATGCTTCATAATTTTGAAACTGTCATTAGAGAGGTTTATAAAAAAAATTGTTATTGGCCACCAAAATACTTTTTAAAATCAGGGACTTCTATTCCTATTTAGCTTGTCTTTAGCATAGACAAGTATCCCCATAGTGAATATCTAGGGATTTGTTTATTTAGACTCATGACATTTATAATAATGATAACAGCAGATAGTTTTGCATATATAAACCCATTTAACCCTCTCAAGAGCCCTATTAGGAAGTTAGCATCTATTTTCCTACAATAAGGACTGTTATTATCCTTATCACCACTTTATAGATGAGAAAATTGAGAGACAGCAAAATTGAGTACATTGCCAAAATCTCACAGCTTCTAAGTGGCAAAGTTAGGACTTGAGCCTAGGAAATCTGGATCCAGAGTTTGTGCCACTGGCAGTATATTTTTTTAAATGTGAAATTTCTTCTTCTATGTGTTAAAGGATATTTTGTTTTCTTCCAGCTGTTTTCAGCTAAAGTTACGTGAGATGCCTTTCTCATGGGGGAGATAGGCCTGTTGGCACTCAACTCTGCAGCAGACAAAGGAGAGAAACAAGGCCAAGACTCTCATGTGCTGCTCTTGGAGATGTTTTCCAAGCTTCTCAAGCTCTTGACCCTCTGTGACTGGCTAATAGAAATGAGCCTGGAGAGTGCACACTTAGCTCGGTCAGTGGGGGTCAGAGGACCCAGGCACAATATACAGTTTGCAGCAAAACATGGGGGGAAAGAGGCCATGAGACTCCCTGCCTACAAGCCTGCCCTCTCTCTGCTCCCAGAGCAGCCAGAGTGAGTTTTCTAAATGGCTAACATGATCACCTTGTTCCCTTGTTCCTTCTCTCTTCCATGCCTCCCCAAATGCCTCTCTGATCACTCAACTAGGCTAAGCCCTCCTACTGGCACTTGAGTTTCCCCTTCATTCAGCATATTTCCTTTTAATTCATTGCTTAATATTGGTTTATTGACTTTTCTGCATGCTAGCTCCCCAAATGCAAAAGCCCTATCCACATTCTTTACTGTGACATCCCATTACCTGGTGTGGGGCCTGAGCCACACCAGGCACTCAGGGAATACTGGTTGAATTTGCTCCTGAATGTAATGAAGTTGACTAGAAAGAGCCTAGAGATGGAAGAGAGACGAGTCACTGACAGCATCCAGGTCAGACAGAGGTACGGAGGGCTCAGCAGGTAAGAGAGAGACATGAGTGAGTTACGTTTCAGATATGAGGGTGAGGTGATGGTAAGACATCAAGTGGACGTGTTCTACAAGCAGGAAAAATATGTAGCTAGAGGGCTTGTTGTAAACATGTGTGAGTGCTGTTATGTTCTGGTCCCCACAAAAGGCCCTGTAGACATACAGGGTCCAGCCATCTACCACCAACCGTTATCAAGGGCCTGCTGTGACCTGGGTCTTTACTGAGGACTTCATGTGTATCACTTCATTTAATTCTTGGAACATCCTTATGAGGTAGATTACAAACATTTTATCAGCAAGGAAATAGAGGCTCAGTCTACAGGAATTGGGTATGGAAAAAAAAAAAGAAATAGAGGCTCAGAAAAGCTAATTTGCCTAAGAGCATATAACTAGAAAGTAGTGAAGGCAGAATTTAAACTATTAGTTAAGATATTATTAACCTTGCTCCATAATTTATGACCCGTGGTGGCAGGAAGCTCATAATGTAAAAATTACCCATGATACATGGTAACAATGATATTCTACTGATAGGTACAAAATACTAGGAAAGTACACAAAAGAGAGTATTTCATTCTTCTTAAGTGGCCAGGGAAAGCTTCATAGAAGAGGGGCTGCTATGAGTTGAATTATGTCCCCCCAAAATTCATAAGCCTGATTCCCAGTACCTCTGAATGTGGTTTTACTTGGAGATAGGTCTTTACGGAGGTAATAGAGTTAAACAGAAGTTATTAGAGTGGGCCTTAATCCAATATGACTGGTGTCTTATAAGAAGAGGAAATTTGGGGCCGGGCACGGTGGCTCACACGTGCAATCCCAGCACTTTGGGAGGCAGAGGCAGGCAGATCACCTGAGGTCAGGAGTTCCAGACCAGCATGACCAACACGGAGAAACCCCATCTCTACTAAAAATACAAAATTAGCTGGAGGTGGTGGTGCGTGCCTGTAATTCCAGCTACTCAGGAGGACGAGGCAGGAGAATTGCTTGAACCCAGGAGGCGGAAGTTGCCATAAGCCAAGATCGCGCCATTGTAATCCAGCCTGGGCAACAAGAGTGAAACTCTGTCTTGAAAAAAAAAAAAAGAAGAGGAAATTTGGACACAGACACACGCAGAGGGAAACCATGTGAAGGCACAGGGAGAAGACGGCCATCGGCGAGCCAAGGAGAGAGACCAGGACCAGATCCTTTCCTGAGGGCCCTCAGGAGGAACCAATCCTGTCCACGCCTTGATTTCAGACTTCTCTCCTCTAGAACCGTGAGACAATAAATTTCTGTTGTTTAATATTTTGTGTGTTTCTGGAGTACTTTGTTACACCAACCCTAGAAAACTAATACACGTGCCAAGAACTCAGCCTTCATGTGCCAACTTCTCAAGATGGAGAAATGCCTTAGGAGTGGGATGCTGGGGGACATGCCCCAGTGGCTCAGGCCTGTAATCACAGCACCTTGGAATGCCAAGGTGGGAGGATCACCGGAGGCCAGGCATTTGACACCAGCATGGGCAGCACAGCAAGACCCCATTTCTACAAATTTAAAAAAAAAAATCAGTTGGGCCTGGTGGTGCATGCCTGTCCCAGCTACTTGGGAAGCTGAGGAGGGAGGATTGCTTGAGCCCAGGAGTTTGAGACTGCAGTGAGCTATGACTACACCACTGCACTCCAGCCTGGGCAATGAAGCAAGACCCCTATCTCTAAAAATAGAAGAAGTAGGAGGGGGAAGAAGAAGAAGGAAGAAGAAAAAAAGAAGCAGAAGAAGCAGGAAGAGGCGAGGAAGAAGAGGAGGAGGAGGAAGAGAGTGTTGAGGAAGGAGGAAAGCATTGTAAACACGTAGGGTTGAGATGCCAAAGGAACAACTAACTAGAGTCATGTGCGAGCCGCACAGACCTGGGACTGCAGCTCAGAGTTAAGTCAGGACACAGACCAGGGTCACAGTTTGTTACATGAAGGAGTGGCCTTAGGGTGTGGAGCTGAAGAGACTCCCCTCCCCAGGTAAGGGGCTGTGGTAGATGAGAAGAGAACCAGGTTCAGAACCTCAGGAAACACCAGCATTTGAAGATAATCAAGAGGAGAAGCCAGTGAAGGCTGAGAGTGATCATGAGGCAGGAATGTGGAGGTTCTGGATCCGCGAGAGAAAAGACGACCCTTGACGCCAACTGTGAGGAACTCTGAGAGAAGATGGTGAATGTTGCGTTTCAGCAACACTGGTGACCTTGTGAGGGCTCTGGGGACGGAAGTCAGCTTGCGGAAAATGAGAGGTGAGTAAACACCCAAGCACACCTCCTACTTAACTGCTTCCTCCCGTCTGTAACTGTCACAGCAAGTGCAGAACAGAAGACCTCTGTGACTCACTTCACATAGACCTGGGCTGTTGTTGGACTTTTACTTTGGTTCTTGTTCAGGGGTCTTGGTTTTATTACTCATTTTCTTTTTAGGGGAAAATGCTAACATACGTCCTTGGCTCTTTTTTTTTTTTTTTTTAGACTGTATAAAGTATTGGCATGGGAGATGGGTTTTGAAGAGTTCCATTTGTATCTGAGGCCTTTTCACTTTGAATTTGCATCACACAAGGACAAGGTGGACCAGCCACCTCCTGTCTTTATAACCTCTCTGCTAGTAGACAGGTGAGCTTTGAGAGGGTTGAGGTGAAAATAACGTCATGGCTGAGTCAATAGCCAGTGAAAAATAATTTCTGTCACCATTCGACAGGCAAGAGCAATCACATTTCTAAGTTCTCTCTTATATTCTATCTGCCATGATGCCAGTTTTTTTCTTCTTTCTTTTTTTAATAAGAGGGAAAAGTAAGATCTCACTTAAGGGGGACAATTGCATTTAAAAACACCAAGTAACTGAGAAATGAAGGAAACAGCTTGTCCGAGAACTCAGATGAGATGAAATCACAGGCTCAGCTGCTTCGCAGGTAGGGTATGTTGCTTGCAGGTAGAAAAGGGTGTCAGGGTGGGTCTGATGGGGTGAGAGCCATGGTTCAGAAGCCCAGGGCTCATCTCTCACTTTCCTTCAGACCAGGAAGATGTCACTTGAGTTTTCAGAGCAGCTGTTTCTTGGAAGGATAACACAAGCTACAAATATAACATGCCGGCAATATCTCAGGCAGCCGTCTTTGTTAGCTTGTGACAGAAGCCAACACAAACCAATGAAAATTCTCTCTCATACCCCGTAGGTTCAACCCGTTGCTTGAAAGAAAACACCCTTACTAGAAATAGCTCATGAGTCTACTCAGTCAGGGGAAGGAATCTTTCTTTTTTCCTCTTACAATCAACCTTTGATGGGTGGGGAGGAGAAACTTCTGTTTCCCTCTTCTTTCCTTCTCTGCTATCTGCTCTTCCCCCCTCAGGGTCCCAGCTTTATCCCTGGAGATTCCTGGTACTGGTTCCATGCCAAGGAAGAAAAAGGTGACTCCAAGGAGGCAACTGGTCCCTGTGTTTTGCTAATGCAGATCCCTGCTCAAATTAGAACTCTTGTTAGTATCCTAAATGACTTCTCAGAACAGGAGGGGAATGAGGGGATTAGGATGATAGAATACAAGATCCCAGGATTTCTCAAATCTTAGCACTGCTAAACTTTTGGACTGAAGAAATCTTTGTTGTGGGGGGACTGTCCTGTGTTTCTTAGATTGATTAGCAACATTCCTGACCTCTACCGTCTAGATGCCAGTAGTATCCCAGTACCCCACCCACACACACTGTTCTACAATCAAAGATGTCCCCAGACATTGCCAAGTATCTCCTGGGGGCAAAACCTCCCCCTGCTCTATCCTGTCACACTAGCTAAACCAAAAACAGAATTTACTGTAAGGATACAGAGATATTCACAGAAGCCAAGGCAGGAAGTATGATCAGGCCTTGGGTGATGCCAGATCCCCATGTGGGAAAAAACAAAAAAAACCCAAACATCTGGAGCCAAGCTATCCTCTGGTTCTTTAAGGCCCTCCTTGGTTGGTGTTTTAGATTGCTGTGAAAATAGGGCACCACATTTTTGTTCAGTCAAAATCCACCAATCAGCACAAACTGCCCGAATACCCTGTGGCTTGGCCAATGCTTTGTGGTCTGATTGGTCCTCTTGGTGATGACCTAGAGATGCCACAAGATAAGGGAGCCTTCTACACTACCCGGGGAAGGCTTACGCATCCAAAGAACTTGTGTATTGAGTTTGTATTTATTTTATGTATGTTAATTCCTTAAAGTTGCCACTTTGGAGTACCGTTATAACAACAACATATATACTGATCCCTTAGTGTCTGTGGGGGATCAGTTCCAAAATCCCTTTGGTTACCAAAATCCAAAGATGCACAAGCTTCTTATATAAAATGGCATAGTATTTGCATATAACTCCCTCCCTTAAGCTTTAAATCATCTTTAGATTACTTATAATTGTATCTAATACAATTTAAATGCTATGTAAATAGTTGTTATATTTTTATATCATTTTTATTTTTGTATTGTTACTTTTTATTGTTTTATTTTTTCAAATATTTTTATTTGCAATTGGTTGAATCCATGGATGCAGAACCCATAGATGTGAAAGGTCAACTGTATCAAATATGAGTATAGTGACTTTCATTGTTAAAAGCACATTCATGCATATTATCCCTCTTAATATTTGCCATAACCCTATGAGACAGGTGACACCCCTTTTACAGATGAAGAAAGATTGGTAGATATTAAATTACTTGACAGAGTCTCATAGTTATGGACAAAGTACTGAGTCTCAAGGTGGAAACATGGCCGCAAAGAATATTTAGATAGCTGTTGGAACCATAGGAGAGAGAGATAATTGGACAACATTTAGGGGGCGTTCAAAGGAGTGAGTCAGTGAGGAATCTGGAACAGGTGTGGTCAAGTAGGTGAGAGGAGCCAGGTATGGTGGTGCATGTCTGTAATCCCAGCTACTCAGGAGGCTGAGGTGGGAGGATTGCTTGAGCTCAGGAGTTCAAGGCTGCAGTGAGCTATGATTGCACCAGTGCCCTTCAGCCTGGATCACAGAGTAAGATTTTGACTCCCCCGCAACCAAAAAAAAAATGCACTTGGTACACCTTTGATGCCCAGTTAACTATATACGTACTTCAAATAAATAAAAACATTTTGCTTTTTAAACAAAAAGAAGATGAGGAAAAACGAGAGAGAGTAGTGTAATGGTGATAAAGAAAAAATAATTTCCAACACTTTGGGGTGGTCACCATAATCAAACTGCAGTGAGATCAAGTCCAAAGAGGACAGAAAAGATCACAGAACCCTAATAGCTTTCAGTGGAAATATTAAGTCTTGTATAAAATTTGCATTTGCTATTACTGACATTTCAGGTCTGATTACATGACATCCTGTTCATTTGTCTCTTAATCAGTTGGATATCACATAAAACTTCATATTTTTCGTTGCAGATATTCTCCTGCTGCTCTTGTCTTAGCCATCTTTGAGGTGGATGATAACCAAATTGGCAAATTTAGTTTTTACACAAAGGAAGCCATTCTTAAGGTAAATTATTTGTTTTTTAAAAAGCAAATGAAAGTAAAATAAAGCAATTTGTTCACATATTTCTTTAAGGGGACATAATACTTTATATAAATTTAGCTTACATATGTAAGAAAAGCTTCCAGTTTCATAAATAATAATAAAGTTTACTTAGTCCATTTTCTCTTTCAGTAACAAAATACCTGAGACTGGGTAATTTATAAAGGAAAGAAGTTTATTTGACCCATGATTCTGGTATCTGGGAAGTCCAAGGGCATGGTGGCAGCTTCTGGGTGAGGGCTTTTGCACTGCATCATAACATGGCAGAAAAGCAGTAGGTCAAGTGATTACATGCGACAGAGACTGCAAGGGCAAGCCAAGCTTGCTTTTATAATATCCTGCTATCTTGAGAAAAAATCCACTCCCACGATCATGGCATTAATCCATTAAGAGGGCTCTAATCTCATGACCCAATCACCTCCCAACACATGAACTTTTAGGGGACACATTCAAACCATAGTGATGGCCTTGCCTTATTTGATGTGCACATTAACCTGGTTTGAACCATAGAGACTGCAATACCACTTATAATAACTTCTGTTAGATACTAAAAAAGAAGTTCACATGTAGTGAACAATCTTTGCATAAGGTTTTTAAAATATACACTTGTTATTGAAGCTTTTATCTGGTCTTTCTAAACCTGGTGCTATTTTTTCATCTGCCATTTGGATTTCTTTGCCTCCATATGTGTATTTTTAAAACGTTGATCTAATCTTGGCTTACAGGAGCCTGCCACTGAGCACATGTTTGCTAGTTCATCAGAGCCTATTCATCTTTTCCTGACCATTGGAGAAACCTAATGGTGTCCAGCTATAGAGCAAATCAGGCCTGGAAGCTGCCTTCTTGGAATGAAATGCTGCTTAGGGAGAGACCAGATTCAGTCTTATGGCTGATTAGCAAGTAACCCAGCTCATCTGGCAGTTTGATTTATATATTTACATGTTGAATAACTGGTGATCTTAACCCTCAACTCACTTCTTTATGCAAGAAATTCCTAATACTTTTCATATTTTCTTCCTTTAGCTCTTGCTGCATTCAGGAGTGGAAAATATGCAGGTGACTCTTGCATGCCAAGCTGCTCAGAAAAATGCTTTGATGGTGGCTATCCAGCAGGTGCACTTCTATCACACCCCTCAAGGGAGCTGTCCTGGTAATGTCAAGGTCAGCCTGCATGACACTGAAGCCAGAGGCATGTCACTACTCCCACCAGCTAATGTCAGGCTGCCCCTTTCTTCCTTCCTTTTTTCCTTTCTCTCTTTTCCCCCTTCTTTCTCCCCTGTTCCCCACTTTCTCTTTCCTATCTTTTTATTTTCCTTACTTTCCTTTTCCCCTCCTTTTCTTCTTTCTGTTTGTGAATCAATGTATGATCAAATCCTTACTGGGTCTCTTAATTTTCAGTGATAACTTTTTCTGCATTCTTTTTGTTTTTTAGTTATTGAGACATAATTCATGTCATATAAAACACACCACGTTGTATAATTCAGTGGTTGTTAGTATATTCACAAGAGTTTGCAACCATCACCACTATCTAATTCCAAAACATTTTTATCACTCACTCTCAAAAGAAACCTTGTACCCATTACCTTTCTCCTTCCCATCAGTCCCTAGCAACCACTTATCTATTTTCTGTTTCTGTAGATTTGCCTATTCTGGATATTTTATGTAAATGGAATCATACAACAGGTGACCTTTTGTGTCTGGCTTTTCACTTAGCATCATGTTCTCAAAGTTTATCTATGCCATAGCATATATCAGCACTTCATTTCTTCATTGCTAAATAATATTTCATTATAAGGATATACCACATTTTGTTTATCCATTTATCAGTTGACATATATTGGGGTGTTTCTACTTTTTGGCATTAGGAATAATGCCACTATGAACATTTATATATAGGTTTTTATGAAGACATATGTTTTTAATTTTCTTGGGCATATACCTAGAAATGAAATTGCTTGGGTTATATGATAACTTTATATTTTATATTTTGAGGAACTTCCTAACTGTCTTTCAGAGTAGCTGTGCTTTTTACATTCTCATCATCAATATATGAGGGTTCCAATGTCTCCACATTTTTGTCAGCACTTGTTACTGTCTGTCTTTTTATTTTAACTGTACTAGTGGGGGTAAAGTAGTATCTCATTTTGGCTTTGACTTAGATTGCCCTATTTATTAAGATCTTGAGCATCTTTTCATTTGCTTACTTGACCATTTGTGTGTCTTCTTTAGAGAAATGTCTATTTAAATCCTTTGACTTTTTATAAAATTTGATGTTATTTAATTGAAAAGTTGTAAGAATTCTTTTTATATCCTGACTACAATACCCTTATAAGGTATATGATTTGCAAATATATTCTATGGATTGTCCTATGATCACCATTTATCTATTATTTCATCATTTGTTCTTTTGGTGTCATATTTAAGAAACCATTGCCTAATCAAAAATCATGAAAACACTCATGTTTTCTTCTAGGAGTTTTATGGTTTAGCTCCTACATTCAGGTCTAGGGTCCATTTATACTTAATTGTGCTGTGTAGTGGAAGGTAGGGGTCCAACTTTATTCTTTTCATGTGGCTATTCAGTTGTCCCAGCACCATTTGTTGAAAAGACTCATCTTTCCTGATTAAATTGTCCTGGAACCCTTGTCAAAAAAATTTATGGTTAAGTGTAACCATAAATGTAAGAATTTATAACTGGTCTCAATTCTATTCCTTTAATCTAAATGCCTATTTTTATGTCAGTGCTACCATGTTTTGATTACCATAGCTTTGTAGTAAGTTTGAAATTAGGAAGTATGATCCCTCCAACTTTGTTTTTTAAGATTGTTTTAGCTATTTTGAGGCTCTTGCATTTTCATATGAATTTCAGTGTCAGCTTGTCAATTTCTGGCAATTTTTAAAAAGCCAGTTGGAATTTTCACAGGGATTGCATCAGACTTACAGATTAGTTTGAGTAGTATTGCCACTTTATTTTATTTTAGTAGGATTGCCATTTTAACAATATTAAGTCTTCCAATTCATGAGCAGGGGATATCTTTCTATTTACAGGCATACCTTGGAGATATTGTGGATTTGGTTCCAGATGTTCCACACACAAATTTTTTGGTTTCTGAGTACATATAAAAGTTTTATTCATATTACACTGTAGCTGATTAAGTGTGCAATACCATTTTGTCTTAATTAAAACTATATTATTCACTTGCAGACCAAAGAATACTAGGTTACAAAAAAAAAGAAAGAAAAAATACATTATTGCTAAAAAAATAATAATAATAATAATGCTAATGATCATCCAAGCCTCCAGTGAGTTGTGATCTTTTTGCTGGTCAGGGTCTTGCCTTGAAGTAGAAGGCTACTGACTGATTAGGGTGATGGTTACTGAAAATTGGGGGTTGAAGGGCTACAGCAATTTCTTAAAATAAGACAACATTGATGTTTTGATGTTTGCCACATTAATTGACTCTACCTTTCATGAAAAATTTCTCTTCGGCATGTGATACTGTTTGATGGCATTTTACCTACAGTAAAACTCTTTTCAAAATTGAAATCAGTCCTCTCAAACTGTGCCACACTGCTTTATCAACTGAGTTTATGCAACATTCTAAATCTTTAGTTGTCATTTCAACAATGTTCATAGCATCTTCACCAGGATTAGATTCCATCTCAAGAAACCACCTTCTTTCTTTGCTCGTCCCTAAGAAGTAACTTCGTTATCTGTTAAGTGTTATCACAAGAATGCAGCAATTCAGTTACGTTTTCAGACTCCACTCCTAACTCTAGTTCTCTTACTATTTCTGCCACATCTGCAGTGCCTTCCTCCACTGAAGTCTTGAACTTCTCAAAGTCCTCCATGAGGGTTGGAAATAACTTCTTCCAAACTCCTGTTAATGTGCATAGTTTGACCTCCTCTCATGAATCACGAATGTTCTTAATGGCGTCTAGAATGGTAAATCTTCCAGAAGCTTTTCAGTTTACTTTGCCCAGATCCATTACACAGGGGTGTCCAATCTTTTGACTTCTCTGGGCCACATTAGGAAAAAGAAGAATTGTCTTGGATCACATATAAAATACACTAACACTAATGATAGCTAATGAGCTAAAAAGAAATCTCAAAAAAACCCAAAAAAAAACAAAAAACCACTGCATAATGTTTTATGAAAGTTTATGAATTTGTGTTGGGCTGCATTCAAAGTCATCCTGGGCGGCATGCAGCCCATGGGCCATGGGGTTGGACAAGCTTCCATTAGACTAATTACTATTCATGGCAGTTATAGTCTTACCCAATATGTTTCTTTTTTTTTTTTTTTTTTCAAGGAAGGAAGATGCCAGTTTTATTTAAACACAAAACTTGCACATAAGCTGTCTACTCATTTTCTTTGCTGCGCAGCCTGGCATTGGGGTTGGTGACTCTGATGGCCAGCTGGGCAGCTCTTTCCATGATGGCTTTGCGGTTCTTGGAGGAAACATTGTGAGCAATCTCAGCACAGTAAGATTTGTTGCACATCAGCAGCACTTCCAGCTCCTTGACGCTGTGGATCAGGAACTTCTGGAAGCCAATGGGCAGCATGTGCTTTGTTTTCTTGTTGCTCCCATAACCAATGTTAGGCATCAAGATCTGGCCCTTAAACCTTCTATGAACCCTGTTGTCAATACCTCTGGGTTTCCGCTAGTTATGCCTAATTTTGACATATCGGTCTGACTGGTGCTGAATGAACTTCTTGGTTCTCTTTTTGACGATCCTGGGTTTCACAAGGGGCCTAAGGGTGGTCATGATGCTGAGGAGGAGATCGCTGCTACCTCCATAGGCAGTGCCGGGGAAGAAAGAAAGGACGTTGGCGCACAAGGGCTGATAAAATATGTTTCCTAATAATAAAACTTCACAATGTACACAGACACAAGACACGCAGCTTGATCCATGGGCTATGGAATGGGTGTTGTGTTACCAGGCAGAAAAACATTAATCTCTTTGTACATTTGGGGACTGTCAGTGAACAGTAATGTTTTGAAAGGAATCTCTTTTTCTGAGCAGTAGGTTTCAACAGTGGGCTTAAGATGCTCAGTAAACTATGTTGTAAAGAGATGTGCTGTCATCCAGGCTTTGTTATTCCATTTATAGAGCACAGGCAGAATAGATTTAGCATAATTCTTAAGTGTCCTAGGATTCGGGGAATGGTAAATGAGCATTTGCTTCCTCTCCAGGTCATCAGTAGCATTAATTTCTAGCAAAAGAGTCAACCTGTCGTTTGAAGCTTTGACGCCAAGCACTGACTTCTTTCTAGCTATAAAAATTCCAGATGGCTTGTTCTTTCACTAGAAAACTGCTTTGTCTACACTGAAAATCTGTTGTTTATTGTACCACCTCTATCAGTTATCTTAGCTAGATCTTCTGGATAACTTTCTCCAGCTTCTCCATCAGCACTTACGGCTTCATCTTGCACTTCTTTGTTATGGAGGTGGCTTCTTTCTTTAAACCTCATGAAATTACTCTCTGTGAGCTTCAGACTTTTCTCTCAGCCTTCATGGAATTGAAGAAGGTTAGGGCCTTGCTCTGGATTAGGCTTTGGCTTAGGGGAATATTGTGGCTGGTTTGATCTTCCATCTAGACCACTAAAACTTCCTCCATATCAGTAATATGTCTGTTTTCCTTCCCTTCCTCCCTCCCTTCCTCCCTCCCTCCTTCCCTCCCTTCCTCCCTCCCTCCCTCCCTCCCTCCCTTCCTCCCT